CAAACAAAACAAACTTGGATTCCTGTCTCAGAAACTTTCCGAGAATAAAATAAAGTTAAATATGGAAACGGGTTTGATGATGTTGAAACAGATTATTACTGAATTGTGGCTTAGCAGATGGGAACAAAAGTTAGTTATCAGTGGATTTTCCTAGCGTAGACATAAACTGGGCATAGCGCTACAACATATGTAATCCCAGTACCTGGGAAATGGAAGCTGGAAGTATCGGTTGATAGTGAATTTCACTCCAGCCTGGGCTATATCAGACCCTGTCTCAAAATAAAGCAAAAGCACAACCCAAAAAATATAGAAAGTTGTAACTTATTTAAGTCCTAGTTGGAGAAACTGATAAAGGATGCTAAATAAACAGATCTTTCTGATTTGTTAATAGTTAAAAAGTTAGTCCATTGTCCTCATCAAATATTTTATAATTGTTTCAGATTTATAGAAAACTTATGAAAGTAATGTGGATTTTTATTGAATCTACATCTTACACTGGCCATATTAGTGAACCAATGTATATTTCCTATGAGTTAGTATTTAAATCCTGCGCTGACTTCGTAAGTTTTTAGCTGAGCTTATTCTCAGAGTCCACTGAAAATAATTAACAATTTGTAGATGAAAAATATATATTCATATATTTGCATAAGAAAAGTTAAAATAATGAGCTTATTGGCTTTAAAGTGGTTTAACATCCTTTAAAAGTGTCCTGATAAACTGTTCTCCACACAAGTATGACTGGAAACAGAGACAAAGTAAAATGAAAATAGAAATAGTAATTATTGGGCACAAACTAGGTCTTTGTTTTAAAAAGAAGTGCTGCTATCAGTATGAGACTTATATTTAATTATCTCCAAAAATAGGAGCAATTGGTTTTCTTTCTCACACATATATTTACCCATATGAAAGTAGAGTTTCAAATTACTTGATTTGGATTTCTTCTAGACAAAATGGAATAGTAGGCAGCATTTGTGTGTTGAAATAATCATAAAACTGGACGAAGTACAGGAGGCATGGATCTTTCGAGCTACCCAGCAAAGGGAAGATGAAGGGTCACTTCCTGCAAAGTTGCAGAGGGACTTGGGGAGAGTTGCAAGGATCTGCAAAGTTCACCAAAGCCTTCCGTACAGCTTAACAATCAATCCATACAGGTGAAGGAGACTTGTGAAGTTGAAGAAAGGCCACCTGATAGAATTATCAAAGAAATTCATAGCTCAAGTGTCTGGAAATCGTTTCGTTTCCCTCCAGATACAGCGGAAAATTGGCAGAGGAATCAAAGGGATGCTTTGCTTAGGCAAAAACAATAAAAGATTAAGTACTGATTGAATTTCATTTATTGTTCCATGGGAGCAACACTCAAAAGGACCAAACTGTTTCCATGTAAATCACCTTTGCCCCAGAACAAAGCTTAGGAGTGTTTACAGGAACACAGACATGTGCACCAGGCAAAATGTTAAATAATGACATCTGGCAACTAAATGATGTTTACAGAGCATGCAAAGAAACATGGGAATAGATTCAGATTCATAGTATTAAAAAGAAAAAAGCACAAGTCAATCAAAACCAGAGCACAGGTGATGCCAATGCTAAAGTTATCTAGGAAAAGCCTTGAAACAGAAAGGTTAACTGAGCTTCTATGCTTACAGAGTTGGAAGAAATATATCCATGGCAAATAGAGATGTGAAAGATAAAAAGAGAAACCCAGGTCAAACTTTCGTAAGTAAAGCTGCAATGGCCTGGCCGAGGTGGGGAATCACAGTGAATCCCATCAGCAGATCAGAGACTGTGGAGGGAAAGTCTAATAAATTAAAGACAGAAAAATTACATCCAGACAGAAAAATAAAGTGTAAAATTCACAGTGTAAAATCCCAGTAGGGCTGCTGTGGGAGGTAGGATTCTTTATTCCTCTCACTTTTGTCTATCACTGACTGATTTCTGCCACCCCGACAGCCTGTTAAAACTATGCTATCTGATATCTTCTGATCCTCTGGGAATTATGACCCTAAGTGCCACCTATCTCTGCTGTAACTTGCTCACTAACCATATACCCAGAGGCTACGTGTAGCATGCCATTGCCCTCCCCCAAAAGAGTCAATGCTGCATGACTGTCAAGGTGGTTAAAACTGTAGCTACTCTGTGTGCCTTCTCACACCAGCCTCTGTATTCCTTCTTCACTGGGCTTCTTTCATTTAATTTGGTTCTAAGACTTTGAAAGTTCTCATTCTAGAGAAAAGTAACTCTAGTCCTTCCAGATCTTCTACACAAGCTTCAACATCGGTCCCAAATCAATGCACACAAAGCAAATTAATCACTGTCTAAGTGGACTGATCCTTAGAAGGCAATGAGAACTAAGAGGGGTTGTGTTTGTTTGTTTACTGTTCTACTTATTATACTGGTTTCAGAGGACAGAAGTAGTAACATTTCTTCTCCTTTGATACTCAGAACAGAGTTTTTCTGTACAATTATTTAAAAATGCAGTCTATCATAGGTAAATTCCAATTATTTACCTCACCAAACATACACTGTGCACTCCATGCATGACAGAAGGGATTAATTTATGGTATTAACAGTAATGTCCAGCTAATTACACCATGGGTCTTCAATGGTGGATGTGAATATGGGTATGGTAATCCAGGATATCCCCTATCTCTTATGACAGCAGAATAACTCCATATTTAATTAATTACTGATAAATTTAGCAAAAAACCCATATCACATATATAAACTCACATCAGAGAACTTAATGTGTGGCTCACATATTAGACAACTTTATTGAACCGGGAAATGTATATTGCTGTGGTGTGGTGACTGTTTTCTAGACTAATCTGATGACTATTGAGAGAAAAAATAAAGAAAATATCTTCCACTTCTAGTTGGGGAGATACTGCCGACCGATGGCTACTATTAGAATGAGAGTCAGTTGTCTTCAGTGATGCATGTCTGGGGGCCCTATCCATGCTCCAGTAGATGGTCCTATATCCACATCTGTACAGGCAGCACTAAACAGAATCAGTAGGTTTCAAAACAAAGCACCTGGAGTTGGGACAATAATGTAGGCAGGAAGATAGAGTACATATTGGAGGAGAGAGATTGTGGACTGGACTTAATTAAAATACACAATACTCATGTATGAAATTCTCAAAGAGTAAACAAGATAAAAAAAACCTCCAAGACCCAATGTAAGATCCAATGTGGAGAAGGGGAGGTGTGCTTCTACTTAGCCATCTCCAGAATTATGACCTGTCTCAATCCATTTGGGGTTTGATGAGGAGTCATAAAATGTGCGTTTATAGTGTTCCCAGTATTAAAGGGATTTAAATAAACTGGACTGTTGAAATACACAACTAGAATACATGTAAAAGCAGTGAGGATGCTTCCTGATGTCACAGATAGAAAAGATGACTCTAGAGTTACTAAATTCTAATGAATAAACCCTGAGACACATTTAGAATTTCTAACAAGAGAAGTTAGCTATGAGTGTTCTCATGGCAAAAGAACATTCTTTCTCAATAAAAGAATATAGTTTTTGCATTCATATTGATGTTTACCATAGCCATTAGTGAGAAAACATTCTGAAAACAAGGCTCAGTGCTGGCCCCGTTGGATTTCTACGCTTAAGGTCAAGCTTATAACCACCATGCTGAGGATTTCCTTGGTAGAGAAAGTCCCAAACTATTCACCCAAGTTTTTTTTTCATTAAATACTGGAAGACACTGGTGTGCTTGTTTGAAATGTGATGGTGTTTTCATATGCAAGAATTTAATAATATAATAATTGAAGAGTAGACAATGTACAAGCTCTGACTGCATTTTTCCCGGCCAAAAATGTTAGCTGTTGTTGCTTTGGGAAGGTAAAACTGAAATATGGGGCTAAGAATACTAGCTAAGGTCTAACATTTTCCCACCTCTACAGGTACCACTAAAAGCATGTTTCCAGAGGCACATGGTGTAAGCAAGCACTCTCCTGAAATGAAGCTCTCAAGAAACCCTGAGAGGCCATTTATCTAAATGGCATGGCCTAGATTGAGTAGTAGACTATGGTGATGTAAGTAAGCTACAAACACAATTTTGACTGGCAGAATAGACTAGGAATTTTCAGTTTCTTTCCAAGTGTAATTGTGACTCGAAATGTCTGACAAGCAAAAGGAACTAGATTGCCTTTCTCTTTTAAACAATATGGAAAGCATGAGTTATTTAAAAACATTTTGTGTAACAGAAGATACTTGCTGGAAAACTTTAAGAAAACTGGCTAAAAATAAAGCAGGGTTCCTATTTCCATTATCATTCTGAACTTACGTAGGTCTGCAGTGAAGGAGATATGGCTTTTAGAACACAGCATCTATAACACCTGCAGTTTCATTCTAATAAAAGAACAGTGACACATACTCTTTGGGTGTGGATCTTCATAAAATTTTGCCAGGATTTATAGCTCACTATTCCTTACTAAGAAAAATACACTGGAAAACAGTATCCAAATAAGGCTTTCCAGTGGTTGCATGGGTTATCAATTTAGTTTAGCTCTCCAAAGAAATATTATGTGTCTGAGATGAATTTTCTCGATTTTATTTATCACTTATCCAATATGTTCTTAATACTTTAAACATTAAGATCTACTCTTTATTTTATTAATAAGTGACTTTGAGCAAATTTTCACCAATTATATAGAAGCACTGGTGGGTTTTGAACAGTAACTTTGAGAAACTGTTAAGACTGTTAAAGGGAAATTGCTTCTAGTTAGAAATCAGATGAAGAGGACCACATTGGGTTTGAAATGTCAGTCATTGGGAAGATGTGACACTGAGCATGTGTCTTTTATGAGTTAGTGGGAGGACTGCTTAGTAGGCAACTGAATAACATTCTAATGAGATGCCCGGAGGATGGACTACAGACAGAACCAACACCCAGAACCCAGGGTATATAAAGATGTCTGCCATGTAGCAAACAGCAACTTGTTCTCTGCAGTTTAATCAAGACCTGGTTGTCTATCTTTCTATTGCTATCATGTCCAGTAACTGCCGCTCAGAAACCTGCAGCTCCTCTTCTCTGAGAAACTCTAGTCATGTTCCTGTAACCTCACCCACTGGCCCTTGCTCCACTGAGATGACATGTAGAGATGCTTCCTGCTCTCCTACCAGCAGCCTGGGCAGCAACACACCATGTGACAACTTCCATGAGCCCTGCAGTGAACACAGGAGCTGCCCATCAGCCAGCTGCAACAGGAACACTGGCAGCCCTTCCGTCGGCTCTCCAGTTACTTCAGGGATGTCTGGATCCCAGGAGGGACATAGTTGTCTTCCTGTCACATCCTGCAATTCCAGCTGTGGTCGTGCAACATCCTGTAGACAACCTTTGAGCTGCTGCCTTCCAAGTTACCAGTCTTATTGTTGTCAACCCCTGGGCTACCTGACCTATGGCCATCAGCCATTGAGAACCCTGAAATATGGGTGCCAGCCTTTCAGTTGCATACCTGACTACCACAGGCCCACAAGCTATACATACGGCAGGTTTCAACCATACTCCTCTTGCTTGAGTGGTTGGCGTTATTCTTACTAAAGAAATTCATGAGTGGCTGAAGCAACCTCAAGCTTCTAACTTCGAGAGAGATCAGCCGGCATCACAAGGAGGTCTCTTGTTTCATGGAGCTATATTGTGTGTGCTCATTCTCTAGTAATTCTCTTCAGGTGAACTTCTTGGTGCTTTAGGGATGTGTATCACTTACTTTAGCCTTTTTTTTTTCAAATATTGATATTGTTCTACTTTGGTAAAATGGTTTTCTTCTGTGTTCATTCTAAATAAATCATGGCTTTGCATTAAGATCATGCTTATCAGATGTCATCATTTACATGTATGCAAATTGGCCCTGGTTTTCTCCTTGGAAGCTATGGACATTGGCTGCTTTAGGTGAAAATGATGGTTGTTTGAGGTCAACTATGGAGAATATTAAATATTTCCAAGAGTTTTTCTTTAAAAGACCCAGGCAAAAGTAATGTTTTAAAACAATTTTTAAAAAAGAGATCTATAACAAACTGGCCTAGTGCATGAATGTGCTTGTTGTGAAAGACTGGTGAACTGAGTTCTAGTTCTGGAGCCTGTGACACAAAGAGGAAGGAAAACATCAACTGCAGGAACCTGTGCCCTGACAGCTTCACACAGGACCTTCACACACGTGGTATGCCTAACAGTCACTTACATCACACAGACATACGGGGAGAAAGCAAGGGGGTGGGGAGAGAAAAGAGGAGAGAGAGGAGGGGAGTCAGGGAGGAGAGAGAGAGTGGAGGAGGAGGAGAGATAAAAGAGAGGAGAGAGATTTCTTTTAAAAATGGAAGAAACTAAATGCATCAATGTAAGGTAGTAACCTGTCAACATATCCATTCGTCTGTGTGCCACTTGGCTGCACTTGGAATCTGATGTTAAGATCCTTCAAGAGTCTTGACGCGGTGGCAGGGCACTCTTAATCACAGTACTTGGAAGGCAAATGGAGGTAGATCTCTGTGAGTTTGAGACCAGCCTGGCCTATAGAATGAGTTCCAGGTCAGCCACTGTTGTTATACAGAGAAAGCCTGTCTCAAAACAAAACAAACAAAAGCAAAACAAAGCAAAGCAAAAAAGTCCTTTGAGAATCAGGGAGATTCATTTTAATAGGATGATACTAATAACAGTGTTGTAAGATATAAGCTCACAAATTTATATTACCCTAAGTCCACAAATAAAAGTATTAGTTTAGATTTTGACAAGTTCATCTTTTGACATCACTGGCAGAATCCATTAGGATCTTCATGAAATTATTTAAAGAGAAATTGGCAGAGATGTCACTATGATGTAGCTACCAAGAGAGACCTACTGGGAACACTCCCTACAACTTAGTCAGCATGGAACCCAACTCCATGGCTTTACCTGTCTATAAGAGATGCTATTACAGAGGATGCAAATCTCCAGAATAATAAGAATATAGAATTTGTAGAATATACCACAATTTTGCATAGGTACTAACCTAAGACTAATTAAGGGAATGAAAGAAAACAGCAAATGTTTTCTCACTAATACTTTAATTAGAGCAGAGTTCCACTGAATGTGAACACTGTAAAAAATTTTAAGGCCCATGCAGTTAATACTCCTGCTTTGGTTTAAAAAAAATCCCACATACATTCAATTTCATTTTCAAGGAGTACAGTAATGGTGGACTGTAGTTCTTTTGTCCAAAACAACCGTTTTTTTTTGTTGTTGTTGTTGCTACTTTATCAGTTGTTACTTTCAAATTGGAAATTCTATATTTCTCTGAAGTGACTATTTACCAAATCAAGGTGATATGTACAACCAGGGCTTATGACTTGCTTTTTTTTGTCATCACTAGCATCACTTTTCTATGAGGATCACAGAGAGTGAACACCGTATGTCAGCCCCTTCTTATGCGTATCTACACCGACAGTTCTCTGTAACACTCTTTCACTAAAAAACAAAAGACATCATAATTTTACAAGCAAGAAGGCCTGCATTTGAAATTTCAAACAAAACATCTGATACAGCTTTCTATGTATTTATCTATGCATCTAACTATCTCTACACCTAGAATATTTATAAATAGGTTAAATATAGATAGATGATAGATCTATAGATAGGATAGATAGAGAGATCACTTCAGGACACATTTGAAAATCATTGTCAGGTCTATTTTGTTTTAATTATTTAATTTTCAAATATTTAAGATGAGCTTTATACTATATTGAAAGAAAAATATAGAAAAGTAATGTGACATTAAAGTTTCTTATTACACATTTCTGGTACGTGGCCATTATTAGATTTTTAATTTTGTTTTTAGTTATGTGTTTATATGTGTGTCTGTGTGTGGAGTTACAGGAGGTTGTAAGTTGCCTGTGATGGGAACTGAACTCTTTACCACTGAGTCATTTGAACAGCTCCCCATGTTTCTGGTGCATAATTCCTAATTTACATTAACCTTGATTTTTAGTATGAATAGAAAAATGATGACTTCTGTATTACTGATGCAGAAATAGGTTCAATGAAATGAATCCTGTTATAAGATTATTAGTGGTTCATGAAATAATCTAATTTTCAATCAAAACAGTTTATTGATATTATAATATGTAGCTGATTTATACCATCACGTTATTAACAAAAGTAGATATATCAGTGAAATTTGATCATTCTTCCAAGAAATGTTTTAAAGGAGTAAATATTAAATACTTGCAAGAATGAGAACAACATAAATGGGTGAGGCCCTGTCTTCATGAACAGAAAACATGTTTTTCCACTAGAATAGATGACTCAAAATTGCTATAATACACTCATGTGAAACACGCGTCACTTACAACAACAAGCTACCAGTTCATTCAGGGAAACACCACTGCTTACTAAACAAAAAAAATGTGGATATTTCCACTGTGAAAAAACTCTATTTGGAAACAAGTGTCTCAGAAAGTTGGAGTCATTGTATATAATATTCAGAAGTCTAGCTCTCTTGACATTTTAGTTATCAAAACAATTATGTCAACTAGTTTAGTTTTAAGTTTCCTACACATACAAAGTGTTGAAGAGATTCCTAATAAGACGTTTCCCCACTGATATGTTGACACATGCATGTGATCCCAGAATTTGTGATGCTGGGCCTGGGAGGTCATAAGATTAGTCCAGCCTGGATGTATAGTGAGATACTGTTCAGGGAGGAAGAGGAAGACATGGAAAATAAGGTGTCCATTATCAATACCGTGTGTAAACAATGCCAACTGAATAACATGTAGTTATCAGGCATTACGAGAGGAAAATTGGAGTTCATTTACAGATAGTGTAAAACTTAGGCAGAGGAGCTACAAATGAGCTGTAACACATCATGGCATCATATCTGAAGTGTCTTCCTGCAAACTGAAGAATGGAAATAAACAAATAGGAAAATTAATGAGAAAATACATGGAAAAAGGGAGGAAACTGCAAGTAATTGGATCACTGATTGAAAACAATCTTATTAATTTTGAAAAACTTGGAAATGATTAGCTGGCTGGAGTGTTGAGGGTCAAGGATAGTGTAAACTAAGGAAGGCTGTAGAGGTAGATTAGGTCTCAGATACCCAAGAGCAATATCAACAAAGAAAAGCATAAAAGAGAGAATTTGATCATCATGCAAGGAACAGATTGGAATGGGAAACAGAGAAATCTTATGGGTAGGCTGTGTAGTTGATACACTGAGGATGAATGGTGGGTTCCGAATCATCCTGTTGGGAAGTAGAAGGTGACTTAGGCATTGCACAGAAGAGTGTTAGCATTTGTTTATTGTTCTTAAGCAGTTAAGAGAAAGGAAAGAACCAATTACTGATGATTAATGATGCTATCCTACTTAGTTATAATGCTCTTGCTCCTATAGTGTTCTAACTACCTGATACATTTCAATAGCCATCGCATAGAGACCAAATTTTTACTGCGGTCTAAAAAGAAAATTTTGATAGTTTGCCTACTTATGTGCAGAAGAAGAGATCTCATAGGTCAGTGTTTGTCCCTTGTTTTCAAACCACAAAAAAAACAATAAAGTGAAAAGAATCTTGAACTGCGACAGAGGCAACACATACATATAACCATCTTCAGAAACAAATTATGAAGGTGAGAACAAAGAATTTTTGGAAGAACATGAGAATTCGAAAAGGGTCTCCTTTTCTAGAGTCCTTGAAGTTCTTACAAGAGATGGGAAATGTCAGAAAGACTTCACAAACTCATCTCAACCCCCAGTGACTTCAATCTCTTGTTTGATTTTCTACAAATAACAGACCACATACCGATGTGAGGTGATCTGAGATAGCAAGGAATGTGTTCTTTAAGAATACTGGCTTCAAAATTTCAGGTATGAAATGTCAAACAATTCTTTGACTGTTTGAAAAAATGGATTAAAATCCAAAGTGGTGGTCCCTCACTTCTCAATGGCACTTTTTTTCTGAAAAAAAAAATATAAACACACGTTAAAATATGCCTTTACTGTGTTTTCCCTTGTTTGCTTCTGTAAATACTTCCATGATATGTGAGATCTTCTCACCTTTCCAGGAAAACATAAGAGCTCCATGAACAAGTTTTGGTTTCTTTCTAAAGGGGAGGGAAGGGGCACCAGACTTCCCAACTCTTCTGTGAAAAATGAAAAAAAAGCAACAGGACTTTTGTACAATAGTAAAACATTCATCGCATGGCTCTTGCATGATTTTCCAAGATGTTGAATATTTGGCTGAAATATTTAATTTACTCTGCTCCTCATCAAACTCATCTTTGGTCAACTGGGAGAGCTTGAAAAGAGGTGTCTTTGATTCTGTACTGTATCTGTCCCCAGAATAGAGACTTCTATAAAATTTACTTGTATGTGCATGGAGAAGATTCTGAAATGAGACTAAAGAAAGTTTTCCTACAGCTTCCCCATAAACACAAATTAAGAGATTTTATTTTCTTTAGTTTTTGCTACATATTTCTATGTGCATGTGTGCATTTATATATATAGTATGTGGGAGAGTTTGGAGGAAGAAAAGTAAAGCAGGAAATGATATAATCATATTAAAATCTCAAAAC